TGCGACCTATGCTCAACACCGACTCACACCCATGACGCATTACGTTTGTCGCAGCGACACTTTTTTTTTATAAAGTATGACATGTTAAAATAAAATGCACACTTCATTGCTTAATTTACGGTTTGTTTTTAAGTGTTGAGATTTTGTGGCCTTTTATTGTTCGCTGCGAATCAAAGTACATCAACAACCACAGCAAATTTAGTAAGTCTTACTGATGTAAACCTTTTAAAATATCATGCTTGAAAATGTTACGGACTGGGACCCGGGACAGCAAGTCCGCACCAGGACGATTCCCGGTGAGAGGGACACTTTGGACGTCTGCCAGAGCAGCCACAAGGCCACGTAGACGGAAAAAACTCGTGAACAGACACGGAACTAGACTAGAGAAAGAAAAACAGCAAGAAAGCGACTAGAAAGAGTGCTGCGCATGGGGGCGGGGATCACGGGACCGTCGTTGATCGTGGCACGTTGGGCCAGCCGTAACGCGGGGCGACCGGCGGAGCAGATCCTACTTCACTTTTGAACCCAGCATCTCGGCGATGTAATCAGGACAATCGCGCTCGTCTCCACGAGAAACTGAACTGCAAGAGCAGTGGAGCACGCATTAACGATGCCGTGCGTACGAGATGCGTTGTACTTGATGAGCGTGCGTTTAACCAGCGGACATTAACGAGCCCGGGCGTTAACGAGCGCTGCCATTAACCGAGCATGCTATTTAACGAGCGTGCGTTAACGAGTGCCCGTTCCTGAGCGCTGCGTAACGAGCGTGAATTAACGAGCTGTGCTGTTTAACGAGCCGTGCATTAACGAGTGCGTTGATAGAGCTGCGTTAACGAGCGCTGCGATTAACGAGCCGTGCATTAAACGAGTGCGTTTGAATGGCGTGTGTTACGGAGCGTGCAAATTAACGAGCATGCATTAACGATCGGTGCGTTAACGAGTGACGTTGATTGAGCCGTGCCGTTACGCAGGCGCTGCATTACGGCGTGCATTAACGAGATTGCAGTTGATGGAGCGTGCGTTAACGAGCGTGCATTAACGAGTGTGCATTAACGAGCGTGCGTTAACGAGCGTGCATTAACGAGCGTGCATTAACGAGCGTGCGTTAACGGCGCTTGCATTAACGAGCATGATTAACGAGCGTGCCGTTAACGAGTGCGTGATGATGCGTGCTGTTAACGAGCAGTGCATAACGGAGCGGCTCGTTAACGAGCGTGCATTAACGAGTGCTGTTAGATGAGCGTGCTAACGACAGCGATGCATTAACGGAATGCTGCCATAAACGAGTGCGTTGCATGAGCTGCAGTTAACGAGCGTGCATTAAAAGCGGTCGCATTAAAGAGCGTGCATTACGAGCGTGCGTTAACGAGCATGCATTAATGAGCGTGCGTTAACGAGCGTGCATTAAAGAGCGTGCATAACGACGCCGTGCATATAATGGCTGTGCCGTTAACGAGCCGTGCGCTTAACGAGCGTGGCATTAACGAGCCGTGCCGTTAAGAGCGCTGGACATTACGACGAGCGTGCATTAATGAGCGTGCCGTTTAGACGAGCGTGCGCTTAACGAGCTGTGCACTTAACGAGCGTGCATTAACGAGCGTGCGTTAACGAGACGCACCACCGCCGGCGATACTCACGCAATCGCCGCGGTAACGCGCTCAGTATCGACGCCACGAGACGTTCAATCGTTTACATTTTTTACAGTAGATGGAGGCAGCATAACATGGAGATAACTCGCGAATGATGTCGGTGTACGCACACGACGCGCGCGCCACGTCAACGGAAACGTGCAAACTGCTCAAGAAAGCGACGGCGTCCCCTCAGCGAGACGCCAACAGCTCACTCACGCTCACTGAAGCCACGAGAGAATGCTCCTGACAAGACAATGACAGCCCCCCTCCGACCCTACCGCACTCCCGACACGATGACGCACTGTGGCCCCTACCCCATGCGCCGGAGCGCTGCATACCTGATGGAGATGACCAGTCGGTGGCGCCTATTCCCCGCTGCCGCTGAGCCGCTGCCGTACCTGATAGAGATGGACGCAGTCGGCGAGTGGTTTCGGACTGCTAGTGTCACGTCGACAGGTGCTGAACAGCTCGTTAGCCTGTAAGCGTCGTCACAGGTGCCGCCTCCTCCATGTACACATTTTGCTGCAACACATCGACACAGCGCACGCATTCATCCTCAGTTGAACGACGCGTCGGCTTCGGATGCGCGATTGTTCGAGACGGGGACCGCGCACGATTCGCTTGTGAACGACGCGTCTTCGGGACGCGCGATGTTTCGAGAACGTGCGACCGCGCACGCTGTCTGTGAACGACGCGCAATCCACGTCACACAAACATCGAACACGACTGCTCGGCAAGAATTTATTAGGACTCTCCTCAATCCCCCTCCTCCTGGGTCTCCCCCTCGCCCACCCCACCTCTTCGCCTGCCCACCCACTCTCCGCCTCGTCCACCCACCTCTCTCCCTCTACCCACCCCCACCATCTCTCTCTCTCTTCGCTCTCTCTCTCTCTCTCTCTCTCTCTCTCTCTCTCTCTCTCTCTCTCTCTCTCTCTCTCTCTCTCTCTCCGTGTAGCATCAATTTCACGTGAGAGACTGTACAAAATCACGAAGTTGATATATATTATAAGTGATAACTGGTCATTCCGATCACCGTGTTATTACGACCAATTAGTAGCCTATTGTCCGCTGGGAAAGATCAAACTGGATGCATTAATCAATGTGATCTATAGCGTAACGTATAAATATTACATCCATAAAATTATTTCTTTTCCATCATCGGAGGCTGCCCGACGAAATAATTCCAGACGACAGTGTTAAACGACATGGAGGCACGGTGGCGATCTGCCAGGGAGTTAACAATTCCTTGATGTCGTAGCAGTGAAGGTTCCTACCAGCCAGCAGTTAGTGACGATCTCTCCAACGGTCGCGGCGACCGGGCAGCCCGTGATGGGCACGACTCCGTAGTCTGCCACCGCTCTGCTTCTCGCATTCACCATCGTGCCTGAACGAAAGACAGCGGAGCCGGTCCATTATTCGACGACGACTCAGTCGGCAGAGAATTGTTCGTGGGACGGCAGAGCCGGGGAGACAAGTGAACGCCAGGTTTGCGAGCGATTACCTCCTTATATGTATATATATATAATAATACACATATATTATACATTATATTGTATATATACACATATACATATATATATATATGTATGTATATAAAACCAAAGTCAAATAATAGATTAAGGATGTTTAAAATTTAAATATATAATTCGAATTTATATATATATATATATAATTATATATGTATATATATATATAATTATATATATTTATATATGTATTATATATATGTATATACATTATATATTGATATTATATATATATATATGGTATTATATGTTATGTAATATACATATATATATATGTATATTATATATATATATATGTATATATATGGTATGTAGAGACACTCGATTATTCAACGGGGGGCAGGGGGGGGGGAAAAAACGTGGATTACCTCCGTTCTCCGTGATGAGGACTCTGTATCTGCGGGCCTGTGTTCCTCGTCAAGCGAAGACGGCAAACGTCTTGTCCGCGAAACAGCATGACCTCCTTCCTCCTCCTCCTCCTCCTCCCGTGCTCCTCCTCCTCTTCCTCGTCGCCGCCTGCACTTGGACTTGTGACATCCACATCGCTAGGCGTAGCGAATGCACCAGATGTCAACGAGAATTGACTTCCTTCGCCTGAGAAAGAACAGATTGGAAGAACTTGCCTCGAAGCAAAACAAAAAGCAGACGGCGAACAGCGATACCGTCGAACGTCGATGTCCCGTGAGTCCGAATCAGGAGAGAGCAGCGCCACATAACAACACTGCATGTGCTGCACACGTAGTAGGAGTAGGACGATTCATCGAATATATATTGATACAAACTTAACGATACACGCTATATATAATCCAGCACGCTTGACCATTCACAAATTAACCCACGTGCGATACTGACTAAAATCCATTATCATTTTTGATTAGCAATAGTTTATCCAAAACAAAAGAAATAACACAATTTTGAATTCCTTAGCAATGTTTACTTAAGCGCTCCGCGATACCGATTCGGAAACATTCACGATATTAGTAAAAAGTACGGTTAAGTGAATAGTTTCATTAGGTAGTTTCTCTTAAGGTATCGCAATACACCAGCCTATCACGTAGCGGTATGATATCGCCGACACAGCTCGCATCGTGAGCTTATCGCGTATCGTCCCGTCGCTACTGCGTAGTTACCTTTGGGGTGCCGTACGTGGCGTGCTGCCATGTGGCGGCCGGCTCTGTGAAATCTTTCTGGCATCGCTTTAAGGGAGGGTGCTGTCACCCAGTCCGCCGGCCATCGACGCACCTGCTGGCCATCGCAAACATTCCGTTCACCACCCCCACCCGCGACTTAGTCGAAACATCAACGGGATTTGTCAAGGCGTTTCAACCAGTGTAGCCACGGCCGACCGAAATCCACTGTGGTTTTTAAGATGGTCGAGTTGAGATGCCGGGTGTATGCAGAAACAACCAGTTAGAGTGCAGAGAGTCCCAGTTAAAACAGCTATGTGCGATCGAAGTCGCAATGATTTTTTGGTTTTTGGATTAATTCAGAAACTTTTGAAGAATAATGTGTTGGACTACTCCTCGTGTCAGGCACGTTTAGAGATGTACAGTAAGTGTGGCTAAGGTTAAACAAACTCTGGCTTGTCCTGTCGTAGATACTGGGCCTCATCAGGGACATGTCGTCTGCCCCTGTGAACGGGTGCCTGTCACAACGCTTACTTCTTCCGTAAGGTTGCATCTGTATTTCTTTCTGCTATAAGCATGCAAAATATATAAATATATTAAATTGATGAATAAGATTGTCATGCAATAAAATGTATCAATCATTTAATATATATAGCATACTATATAGACATATACATATATACACGCATGCATGCACGCACGTAGCATGCACACACGAATGACATCGCACATGCCAACGCACACGCACACGCACACACACAATGCTGAATTGATTAATTTCCGCCCTCCCTTTATCGGGCCTCACCTTCGCTGCGGCGGCGGCCGCTTGTGGTCCAGGTCCAGGCCCACACGTAGTTGTGCGGGTCCGAGCACCACTTCCCTTCGTCATGCTGCTGCACCATCCACTGTTGACAATGCAACGGCAACTACGCTGGCGCCGAGAGACACGACCACGGTCACCGCAGACGCCGACACTTCATAATTAAGCTAATCCTCACAAACACGAACACTAGTTCTATGACCACAGCTGACGAACACTGGTGTAACGCTTAACGTTAAAGCACGAAATAGCACCCAGTGATGGCCCCACCTACATGCCAGCCACTGCATCCTACGCTGGCGCCATTACCTTGCCACTGCTGGTGCACTTCATCTCGGCACTGCCCTGCCCTGCCTACACCACATACTGCAGGCGCCAACCTACCAGAGCTGCCTGGCGCCATCTAATACTTGTTCATGCGACACCGACCTGCTGCTGCCTACCACATACGGCTTAGCGCCACCTACCTCACACTGCTGGCGCAACCTTGCTTCTACACTGCTAGCACTGCCTACCATGATATGCTAGCGCCACTACCTCCACTACTAGCGCAGGGGGTTCAACATTTTAAACTTTTATTCACTAGGACCATTCGCCTTAGTAACTGAGGCAAAACCACTAGCCCTGTACCTAACCTTTCACTAGCCCAGAACCCAGACATCTGTTATGGAAAACTTTATTTAGATAAGAGTTCGTGTCATCGTATATGAATTCATAGATGCGTTTCCCGCGCTAAATCCCGCGCGTCTAGGGCGAGCGTCACGGTGCAGCATTCGTATTCTTTCCACCACGGGCATACACGAGCACACGATTTATCGATCGTCTACTGCGGCTGGCAGAAAGCCACGTTATTGTTTTTGCCAAAGGGTAGACTGGTATCCGGCCTCACGCTCTGCTAGACAATGTACACGCTCTGCGACAACCAGTGCGGCCACGAACCAGTCTAGCCAGAGGTGACTTTTCAGTGCAATATATATGACCACTTCAAACACGACCAGTCGGGCTACTAGCACTCTGGTTGTATGCGACCGGACCAAGCATTTACCCGACTAGGTCGGTCGGACGTGGGTTAGTGTCGAACCCTGCTAGCGCCACCTACCTCGCACTCCTGGCACCACCTATCTCGACCTGTTAGCGCCACCTACATTGCACTACTAGCGCCACCTATAATCTCGACCTGTTAGCGCCACCTACCTCGCACTACTAGCGCCACCTACCTCGCGCTGCCCGCCCGCAGCCGGCTCGTGATGGCGTCGACGGCGCCGCACATGACGACGTGGGAGACGTTGTCGGTGAGCTCGCTGTACCACGTGCCGCCGCCCACGTTGATCAGCATCTTCGCCTTCTCCAGCCTCCCCGGCGAGAAGCCGCTCAGGTAGATCTGTAGAGGGAGCCACGCGTCACAAATACTCAAGCAAATACAAAACCAACACACAAATACTCGCATCCCATAAATCCTCCGCCCCAAAATTTCATCCGCGATGCAAGCGCGTAATCGACGCCACAAACACGACACGTACAAACGCGATTAACCCAGCGAGCGATTCTGCGCACAGAACGCTCACAGAGGGCGCCACCGACCTTGCATCCATCGAGAAACATGTCGCCGACGACGTGGCGCAGCTCGAGGGCGTCGAACGCGTCCCTAGGTGGCGCCGGCGGCGGCGGCGGCATCGTCGAGTCGTTCAGCATGGTGGTCATTGCCGTCTCGTTGACGGTGCACGCGCTGATGTCGCTGATCGCGCTCATGTTGGCCAGCGTCGACATGCGACCTGCGAACACACGCACGCATGCGCCCGCTGTACGTGTGCACGACCGTGACGAGAGGGAGGGAGAGAGGGGAAAGGGAAAGGGAGAGAGAGGGGGGAGGGAGAGAGAGGAAGAGAGAGAGAGAGAGAGAGTGAGAGAGAGAGAGAGAGAGAGT